ACAAGATGGCTGTGGAGGAGGCTATGGAAGGGCATAATCTCATTATCAAGTAAATCAACTGCAATTCTGACAGCAATCCTGAGCAATTCTGCTTCGCACTACGGGGACAGAAATGGCTTTACTGGGGGGGGGGGGAGGGGAAATTCCCCCCCCCCCAGATATATAGTTAAAATAGGCACTGCGCGAAAGCTTATTGCGACCCAAGAGGTATTACTTAAAGATGAAATGACAGCAAACATTGCATCGCTTTATATGAAAAAGCTTCAAATATTTATTACAGTAATCAAATTGCTTAGCGCTCATTCTTGAGCTGAAATTCAGACTGCATCATTGAGCAAGCCGCGTCGTACTAGATCATAAACTCTCTATTGTATTAGCGATGGCCCTGCAAAGCATCATTCGTTTTGGCAGGTCACTTCTGACACACGTGCCCCTATTTAAACGGAGCTAGTTTCGCCCCGGGTTATGCCGAAGGCAGCTGACTCTTTCGGCATATTTTCTTCAACTTGGATAGTTATGCTGTTGAATGTCTTGAACTTGGATGGTTATGACTATTGCCATTGACTGTCTTCGGCATAACCACTATTCAACTTGGAAAACAGTTGAATGTCTTCTGCGTAACCATTCAACCTTTGAAAACAGTTGACTGTCTCCGGCATAACCATCCAACTTGGATGGTAATGACTTTGACTGTCTTCGGCATAAACATGCAACTGGGATGGCTACGCCGCTGAATGTCTTCAACTTGGATAGCTATGTCATTGAATGTCTTCGGCATAACCATTCAACTTCGATGGTTATGCCGTTGAATGTCTTCGGCATAACCATTCAAATTGGACGTTTATGCCGCGGAATGCCACGCTTATGTCGTTCAATGTCTTCGGCATAAACATTTGACAGTCTTTGGCATAACCATCCAACTTGGATGGTTATACCGTTGACTGTCTTCGGCATAAACATTCAACTTGGAAAACAGTTGAATGTCTTCGGCATAACCATTCAACTTGGATGGTTATGACATTGACTGTCTTCGGCATAACCATTCAACTTGGATGGTTATGACATTGACTGTCTTCGGCATAACCATTCAACTTGGATGGTTATGACATTGACTGTCTCCGGCATAACCATCCAACTTGGATGGTAATGCCTTTGACTGTCTTCGGCATAAACATGCAACTGGGATGGCTACGCCGCTGAATGTCTTCAACTTGGATAGCTATGTCATTGAATGTCTTCGGCATAACCATTCAACTTCGATGGTTATGCCGTTGAATGTCTTCGGCATAACCATTCAAATTGGACGTTTATGCCGCGGAATGCCACGCTTATGTCGTTCAATGTCTTCGGCATAAACATTTGACAGTCTTTGGCATAACCATCCAACTTGGATGGTTATACCGTTGACTGTCTTCGGCATAAACATTCAACTTGGAAAACAGTTGAATGTCTTCGGCATAACCATTCAACTTGGATGGTTATGACATTGACTGTCTTCGGCATAACCATTCAACTTGGAAAGGAGTTGACTATCTTCGGCATAACTATTCAACTTTGAAGGTTATGCCGCTGACTGTCTTCGGCATAGCCCCCCCCCCGGGGGGCGATATTTATTCCTAGGAATATCGCAACCCTTTTGAGAGGGGGGGATCACCTTAAAGGCATGGGCAAATAGCAGTACCTTTTTATAAAAATTCTATCTTGCCCCCCCCAAATATGAGTTTGCCCCTCAAATGCCCCCCCCCAAATTCTGAGGCCTGGCGCCGCCACTGTCTTCGGCATAAACATTTGACTGTCTTCGCGAAAACCATTCGACTTGGATGGTTATGCCGTTAAATGTCTTCAACTTGGATAGTTACGCTGTTGAATGTCTTCAACTTGGATAGTTATGCCGTTGAATGTCTTGGGCATAACCATTCAACTTGGAAAACAGTTGAACTTTGAAGGTTATGCCGTTGACTGTCTTCGGCATAACCATTCACTTGGGAAACAGTTGACAGTCTTCGGCATCACCATTCAACTTGGATGGTTATGCCGTTGACGGTCTTCTGCATAACCATTCGGCATAACCAATCAACTTGGAAAACACTTGACTGTCTTCGACGTAACCATTCAGCTTGCATGGTTATGCCGCTGACTGTCATCGGCATAACCATTCAACTTGGATGGTTATGCCGTTGACTGTCTTCGGCATAACCATTCAACTTGGGAAACAGTTGACTGTCTTCGGCATAACCATTCAACTTGGATGGTTATGCCGTTGACTGTTTTCGGCATAACCATTCAACTTGGAAAACAATTGACTGTCTTCGACATAACCATTCAGCCTGGATAGTTATGCCGCTGACTGTCTTAGGCATAACCATTCAACTTGGATGGTTATGCCGTTGACTGTTTTCGGCATAACCATTCAACTTGGAAAACAATTGACTGTCTTCGACATAACCATTCAGCCTGGATAGTTATGCCGCTGACTGTCTTAGGCATAACCATTCAACTTGGAAAACAGTTGAATGTCTTCCGCATAATCATTCAACTTTGAAGGTTATGCAGTTGACTGTCTTCGGCATAACCATTCAACTTGGAAAACAGTTAAACTTTGAAGGTTATGCCGTTGACTGTCTTCGGCATAACCATTCAACTTGGGAAACAGTTGACTGTCTTCGGCATAACCATTCAACTTGAATTTTCCAAACACATATGGTAATTTTCGTGGACATACAAAAATTTTTCCGGATATATCATAATTTTTCCGTGCGTGCAAATTTTTTCCGACATATCTTCATTTTTACGAAAATACAAAAGTATTTTTCAACAGATATAGTAATTTTTCTCAATTTACTTTCTTATGCCCTGAGAATTACCTGAAGTTACCAAAAAATCTACTGGATATCTACCTGAATTTACCTTAAAATCTACTAGAAATCTACTTGAAATTGCTCATGAGCAATTATTAGTGGAGGGGGGTGATGCTGCACACCTCCTGTCGCTACGGCCCTGATGCTGTTGAATGTCTTCGGCATAACCATTCAACTTCGAAGAAAATTGACTGTAGTTAGTGATGTATTGTATTAGCGTTGGCCCTGCAGGGCATCATTGGTTTTGGCAGGGCAATTCTGCCAGACACGCCCCCCTAATTAAAAGGGGCTTGTTTCGCCTCTGAGCAGAAATACTCAACACTGAACGTTGTGCTGTATATGAAACTAAAGCTAATTGAAAAATGCTATTTGGTGTAGAAATTTCAAGACTTTAGCTAAAAGGGAAATATTTAAAAACTATGAAAATAATTGCCGATAATTTGTCATTTTTCGCCGAATGGGAGTTGTTTTTGATTTTTAAAATATTTTTCTTTTCTCTGAAGTCTTGAAATTTCCACACCGAATTGAACAGCAATTTTCAATAGCTTCAGTTTGATATGGTCTGATATATATCCCAACGTTTGGGATCAAGTATTTCTGCTCATAACTCAGAAAAACTATTTTGGCTTCAACAAATCATAGGCCTTCATTATAGCAGTTAGCTTTCCAGGTTACTTATAGTTCAATGGCGGTGACTTCCAATGCAATCAGTGCTTCCAATACACTTGTCCTCGTTAATATTGTTCTATACCTTATCCGTCGTGATAACTTAACGCATTAAATTCCCGGTATCGGTTTGGTATCGGAAGTCGAACTTTTAAAAACTCTCTAGTTAATGATATTAGGAGGCAGTGCGAGTGACGAACGATACGCTACGAACCATTAAAGTAGAGAAAACTCTACTTGGCCGGACTGAGATTCAAACTCAAGATTATGATTCAGTTTCAAAATTAAAAAACCCTTGAAGTAGTAGTAAACTGAAGGACGTGGGTTTGAATCCCAGCCAACGGTAGAGTTTTCTCTACTTGTATGATTCGTCACTCGATGTGGTTCGTCACTTGGAGTAGCTCCTATATCATGTAGCTATAGTATACAACCTTTTTAGACATAAAAGCAATGGGAAACGTCAGGGGACGTGTGGAGAGTAAGAACTGTTCCCGGGTAGTTCTCCCGCAGACCATACTGCAACCACGAACCATTGACACGGACTTTGCATGCAAGTATAATGGTGGTTTGAAAAAACGTCAGAGCGTAAAGCTGCAGATAGCTGAGGTTGTTTATATTAAGTAGAGTTACATTCTGATTGAAACCACAGTATAGCCTTTGAATATTCTGTTATCATCAAAGGATGTGTAATTGAATTGGTTTGTGGGCTTGCATATATACAGTTCAGTGGACAAAACAATAAACTTGCAAGGATTCAAATATGTATGATTTTCAGTTTAATTTGTTTCTGAGTTTGCAAGATATTTCTTTCCAAAATCTTCCAACCCCTCCCCCCCCCCGAAACGGTACCGTCTGTAGGCCGAAACGGTACCGTCTGTATATATATATATATATATATATATATATATATATATATATATATATATATATATATATATATATATATATATATATATATATATATATATATATATATATTATTTACTAATAAAGCATTAGTTAATATATTAATTAAGCTATATGATAATATGGTTAATTGGGCTATATGTTAAAACTTATCTATCAACTTCAAGTGTAATTCGTAATGTATCATTCCAGTCGACTATGCACAAGATATCCATGTTGTCTTCCTTGTAATTGTTATCAGCGCGTTAAAGCAGCTTCGTCTTCAGCCACGGAGTCTTCTTGAGAGTTGACTCATTTTAGTCTCGTTCCTCTTTCTTAATCCTTGGCCTTAATAATGTTCACTGATGCGTGAAACTACTTTTATAGTGTTTGTAATATTACTCTGATTGTATATCCACACCTGGCAAGCTTGAAAAATATGCCTGGCCACGGTCAAAATCGAACCTACGACCTTTGGAATACTAGCCCAATGCTCTTCCAACTGAGTTACGCGGTCAGGTTGGTTCGACTCGAGTATGTGTTCGAGTATGAGTATTCACCTGAGTACACAACACCAACACAGAAAAAAATCATGATTACTTTTTGATTACTTTTGTGTTGGTGTTATGTACTCAGGTCAATACTCATACTCGAACACATACTCGAACCAACCTGACCGCGTAGCTCAGTTGGAAGAGCATTGGTCTGGCCACGGTGGGCCAGGCATATTTTTTAAGCCTGCCCGGTGTGGATATACACTCAGAGTGACATCACGCAGGCAAGTTATTATTATTATTATTATTATTATTATGATCCACATTTTTGTCGACGTCAATAACTTTTTTTGCGTAGCATGTACAATTTTTGCGTTGACTATATTTAAGGGTAATGATTTACTCCACAATTTAATCGTGTGCAAATGCTTAACTATTCTATAGTTTTCTTAACTTTTTTTCTTTAAGTTCGGTATTCGACATTTTTTCAAGAAATGTTCACACGCCTCCCGGTCTGAAACGGTAATTTTTAATTTAAATTCTGTTCTTTTTAGATTTTAATTGTTAAAATCTTTTTATTCGTGTCTAAACTACCCGTCTACTACGCATTTTTTTGTTTGTTTCAATTACATATTTGAGGGCCCTGAAGGGGTAAAATAGGAACTGGGATTGATCTAATTTTAGACTGGGAAAATGGGAATTGGGTTACTGGGACTGGGATTTGGCCACTGGGAATGGGAAATGAAGTCCTCAAAAATGGGAATGGGATTGAGGTAATGCGAGTCGATTCCCAATTTTTCTACATTTTAAGTGTTTTAAAATACAATTTTGATCCGTTTTCGGTGTCTTTGGTCATGATTTTTGTTGTTAACTATATTATTCACAGCACTACCTGCGAACAGGCATACTCTGGCGCCCGGAATTCTGGGTTTTCTGATTATGCGTGTCTCAGAATGCTGCAAATGCCATTTCTGGGATTCAAATTTTAAAATTTTCTGTGCCTTCGGCACAAGCCCCCCGATGTTTCATAAAGTGTCCGCCACTTGCACACACAGTGGTTTAAAAGTTTTAAAACTGTTTATTCTACCAATAAATAAAGGGTTTTTTATTGACTGGGATTTCAATAACTCGGACTGGGATTTCTAATAAAAATCCAACTGGGACTGGGATTTTGCCAAAATTTCAGGTGGGAAATGGGATTGGGACCCCCCCTTCAGGACCCTCATATTTTTATGTAAAATTTGGCATTTAAATTCCTCGCCATCTTTTTTGTGTCCCACGCATGCACAGACGTTTTTCCGCGGTGTTCCTGCGAACAGGCCCTCATTGTTTGATTGTGCGCAGGTGGCATATTTTTCTATTAACACGTGACTCCGGTTCCAGCGAATGAATGTTCAGCATTCTGCCACGTGTCTAGTTCGAAAGCGAGGCTGTGTCGAAGAGTTTGTCGATCCTTCTTGTATCATGTGATTTGAAGAGTTGTTCCCGTGGTTTATTTCGTTCTTCTTCGTTCCTCAGTTGCTCACATGACCAGTTTGTTTGATCCCATGACCAGTTCAAGTTCTCCAGCGCTTGACATGCTCGAAGGAGCTCTGGACACAGAGAAATCGAGTGATTTACAAGAACGGAAAGGTGGCGTTTCAACACATGCAAGCCCTGAGCCAGAGAGTGTCACTGTGACTGTTTCAACAGTTCGAGATGACCCTTCAGTTGCTGGAGCGAGCTGTCTTGGTTCACAATCAAATCACACTCAAAGTTACGCTGATCCAAACGCTATCCAATTCCAATATCGCACTGACACTAACCTTGAAAATAACCATGTTCATACTTCGCCAACTTATGACAGTGGACATATACGTGTTGTGCAAGTTCACAGCGATGAAGGCGACCCTACGGTTGATCGAGTCGATGTAGCCGTGTCGGGAAACAACTTTGTGCCGTCGTCTCATGTTGCTCAACAGACCGTCATACAAAGTCCCTTCCCTGAGTCCCCGCCAACTCAAGTAGACACTGATTCAGGACGGTTTACTTACTATTCATCTGGAGGTAGCGAGCAAGGGACTACTGCCCAAGGGGAAAATATTGATTCAAACACAGCTTACATTGTACGAACAGTACCAGTCAGTGGTCTCAGTCAGCCTTCATCACCCATACCTGCTACAAATGTAATTCCAGTGACTCAGGGAGCGCAAGGTATATAGTATTAAATATATTGAATATCTTAGTTCACAAAACTAGATAATTTGTGCAGGGCTACTTTCATAATTGGAAACTTATATATTTTGTTTACATGCCAAATTATAGCAGGAAGTCACCTAGCATTAATATTGTAATGAACGACAAAGGGAATGTCAACTATCAGCAGATTGCTATCAACCTGGATTGTTTTCTTGTTTTCTAATTGCATTATTTCTGTGATTGCTTCAGCTGGTTATATTTCAAAAAATCACCATGGTCCTATGTTTTTGTCAGGAGTAACCCTTTTGCTCCTGTATCATGAGTACAAAGTTGTTTGTCATAGGTAAAGTCCTATGACACACAACTTTTTACCTACAACACTAGGCTATTGCAGTACCGTAAACCTCCAAATATAACACTCCCCCTGTATAAGTCCACCACATGTACTAAGGCCAATGGAACTGTAGATTCTGTTTACCGTCCGAGAATTTAAAAAATCTGATGCGGGTTTTTTTCATTCATTTTTCATTAGTTTTGTTATTGTCTATTTTCCGACCAAAAATGATCCTTAAATCGTTTTCTTTTGATTTCGACCATCAACACTTTTGTCCAGCATTCTTTTATAATTTTTGGGCTTTCCTTTGCTGAAAATTTCTTTGTCACGCCATTGTTTTCGAATTTGCACATGTCAGACTCGCGAATTTCCGAGTGTACTGAACAAATGCTGACTGATCCATCATACATCAGCGATGTACTGCTTTTTATATCGAAGATTTGATGATTTGATGTATATTTGAAAGTTTCGATGCGTAGAATTAAAAATAATGACAATACATACATGAAAATAATTCAGACTAATGAAAAATTCTTGCGGTAGTTTCAAGCACATGCGGGCGGTGGACGGTAAACAGAATCTACAGTTCCATTGGCCTAATGCTCACCTCATTCCAAATAAGCCCCCCCCCAAATATAGACCCCCGCCCGAATATAAGCCCCCTGAGTATAAGTCCCCCGAATATAAGCCCAGTAGCCCACAACGTTATTCAACATTGACATTGTCTTTTAATGTAGCAGAGAACGATATTTAAAAACATTGTCATTGTCTTTATAGCTTACTATGTTTATCAAAGTGTGTTATTAATACATGTTTATTTTCCTGTTTATGACTGCATGACTTGTTTATTACTAACACAAAAGATCGTCCATGTATAAGCCCCCCTGTATATAAGCCCCCCCCTTGTATAAGCCCATCAAAAATCGCTTACGGAAGAATATAAGCTCAGGGTTTATAGTTGGAGGTTTATGGTGTATTGATAAGTAGATTTTTTAGTTATCAGATATTCAATATTTGGTTTTTTGATACATCAATATACCAAAAATGGTGAAATGTGCTTGGGTAAATTTCAGGATTTTGGGCAACTCACTTGATATAACTAATTGTTGAAGGAATTTGTAGATGGAAATCTTGAGTGGAATTTTTATACATTTATTAGACTTAACCAGGAGCAGTTGCAAAAAATGCAATTGCTATCGGCCCACTGGCAGGAATTGAAACTGCAGTCCTGCAATTCTGGTGCAGTGCTGTTGTCGGTATTTTTTGATATCGCTAAATATTGACATTAGTTTTAATACCACAGCAGTCAGCTACACTAAAGAGGGGATGAACCCCTTCTGCCTTTTTCTAATGGGGCGAAGTGCCTAGATAAACCAAAGATTTACATTATAAACAAGATAGTACAACACTAAATATGATCAATACAACACAATGGTGTGTTTAATGTATGAATACACTAGCCTGCGAACAGGCTCTTTGAATTAAATTAGAGCCTGCCGGTTTAGTCAATAAAAAAGCGTCTGTGGCATTGCTTAGAATGATGCAGGGTTCCCATTGGTTGAAACCGAGTAGTTGGTTATTAATTAACTACATTATACTGCCATAAAAGGTAATGAAATTTACACATACAACAATAGATTCAAGATGTCATCACAAAGTCCGGAAATCGAAAAATATCGTTCTATAGCGATAAAAATGTATTAGACGAGTTGTATAGAAAACTAGATTTTTGTTTAAAGTTAAAGGATGCACAGTCAAAAGATCTTAACAATATTCTAGATGGAAACAATGTTTTTTGCTGTATAAGAGAGTTTGGCAAATACAACGGCAACATGCTTATATCAACAATAGCATCTTTACTCTAAGACAAAGGCGACTATAATTTGCATTCTTAAGCATTCTAGTACGCCGTAGTTGTTCAAACTGCTACGTTATTTACATCATTTTCACGGCTCATGACCACGCCAACACACTAAAATGTTCAAGTCATTTGCTATGTTTTATGTGAATTCACTTACTATTGCTACTTCAGGAAATTTCAGGGTTGTTTGCTTTTAAAAGTTTAGTAATGTATGTTTTCACTCAAATACAAAAGTACCGTATAAGTAATTTTGTTTTCTGCTGTCGCCTTTTTTGGTTGCCAAATTCACTAATGACACTAGTATTGCCGACAGGCTATATATATACAGCAAAAGCTTAATATTCCAACTTTCGGTCCTTGTCGAGGAGAGAAAAAGAAAAGAACCTGCTACAGCCATCATAAATCATAATTTATTCATTTGTCCTCTAATTAGTATTATAGAGGACCAAATGGAAGAAGCTAAGGACCTTGGTATCAACCCTTGGTATGAGTTTGCTTTGCATTAGTGACAAACCGAACATAGAGGACATAAAATCGGGGAAATTTCATTTGATATTTGGATCGGCCGAAAACATTCTTAACAAGTCATCGACGCTTTAAAATATTCAAGTTGTCATTTGCATAATTATTTGGTTGCTTTTGTTATAAACGAGCCTCACATCATTGAGACGTGGACTGGAGAAAGGAAAATACAAATTCAAAATCAATTTTATTTTTATGCATGTCCCGCATCTTTCAGACCATTCTGGACCTCTCTCACAAACAATCCCGATATTTTGCAAAAGAACTTCAAAACTATCTTGCCTTACTGTTGGCTTGAGCAAGTCACTATTGAAACAGACTTCCATGTATCTCCGTATTTTACTTTTAAAGAAGCATTGCAACAACGGCAAAATTCGTTCACATTTTTAGCAGTTTTTTGCATGTAAATTTTTTTTTGAGTTTCTTTCCAACTTGACATTACAGACTTGTTGTAAACAATCATGCGTTGAAATAGAGATTTGCGTTTTGTTTACAATTTGCAGGCTATTTTACACAAGGCATGTCTGATATTTGTTACATTGTAATTTTGTAATAGACCTTATGTATAATGACGTCACAAGGCTTGATGCCTGCGAGGAATACTGGTCTTGGTAGTCATCCGTCATTGCCCGGGAAAATTCAAAAGTGGCCATTTTGAACTGTTTAATTTTCCCGGGCGATGACTACTTTGACCAGCATTCTTGCGGGCATCAAGCCTTGTGACTTCATTGTGCATAAGGTCTATTAATTTAATGATTAAAATTTGACAGATTTTACATTTGATCGACAACACTAACAAGATGGGCACAGACGTATTTTTATTGACTAAACCGGCAGGCTCTAATTCAATTCAAAGAGCCTGTTCGCAGGCTATGAATACACATTAGAGCTGTACAGTTCCAAAAATTTTATCTTGGTTCCGGTTTCTTTGGAACAGAAAAACCTCGGTTCGGTTTCAGTTATTTTCAAAAAAGACGAACAGTACAAATGTATGAACTCATTTATGTATGTTTCGAGCATTTTTACTAAAGAGATGAATTTATGCCTTTGTAAGTTTGTATAAATCTCTGAATATTTTAAAAGAACAATATAAATTGGAATTTATTTATGAACATGAAATATTTCTTTTTAAAAAAAAAATTAAAGCAAGTGCACAACAATAAACAACTAAAATATCGACTATTTGAGCACTTAGTACAGTGCATATTGTTCACAAAGAGCACAATCTTGTTATTTTCCAAATATTTCAACCTGCAATCAGGTGGGCGTTTGGCGGGTGTTAAATTAAAAATTAAAACCGAAACTACCGGTTCTTTTGCATATAAATTTTCGGTGCTAAAAAAGTACCAGAAGAACCGAATTTTTCGGTTAACCACACAGCTCAAATACACATGCCAATATGATGGGATTCGTTAGCGAATTCTCTCCAGAAAATGTTAGAAATGCAGTCATCAAACTTCAAAACTATAAAATTGTCTGAGGGGAGCACCCCCTGACCCCCAGCACAACTCTGGCAATACTGTAGTTTAGGTATAGCACTGATTCTTGAGGTCACAGTAATAAAAATCATGGATGACTTGTGATTACAAGCTTGAAGATAAATTCACATTCTGTATTACTAAATTGAGCTATTTTATTGCCATTGGTCCCTAAATATGTCAATGATTGTACTATTTGCATATTTTCAGGGCAATTTTATGTCATGATGCCACAAGATGTTTTGCAAAGTGGAAATCAGCGTACCATAGCACCAAGATCACATCCATCTAACCAGTAAGAATACATCTGACATTGCATGTGTTGTATTTACAGAGGGTCTAAAACAGGTTTTGTGGGATAGGACAATTAATTCTATGGAAAACGTACAAGAAGATTTGTGCAATTCAGGATTTATGAAGTATATTTAGTACTGTTTTATGATGTCTGTGTGATGTGATTATCACACAGTCATAATGGGTTTTCCTCATCCAGGCAAAGTTGAGAAGTGGCCAAGTAACTGTAGTTTGTTACACCATTACCAGTGAATTACAATTTAGCAACTAGCAAGTAGTTTCTTAGTTCTGCCTAATTCAAAACAGTAATCTAAAACAGTACTGGTAGTCAAAAAGTAGCTAAGGCAAACTACAGTATAGTTTCCAATGTTGGAAAAGATATTGGAAAAATGTTTCTGTAGCTGTAATGAGTAGGTTGTCAGGGTGTGCAAGTAATATAAGCATGTAATCGTTGCTTTCTTAGTCATGCTTTAGCTGATTGTGTGATCTCTCACAGGAAAATTGATGGTCAAAGAACGCCCCGTGATGAAAAAAGAAGAGCAACTCACAATGAAGTTGAAAGACGTAGAAGAGACAAAATAAATAATTGGATTGAAAAATTAGCCAAGATGTTACCAGAAAGTGAACAAGATCACACAAAACAGGGACAGGTAAAGTTTTTTAATAGAGCACACTGGCTTATACTGTGTCGTATTTAACTGGTAACACAATGTATACTGTAGGTTTTTTCTGCCATATATACCTGTAGAATTATAACAATCATTCAGTGGTGGTCACTGATGTAATTATTATAGGGTGGTAAGCTACAATTAGCCTTTTCCCAAAATAGATCACAGTGCATTCTGGGATCGTTTGGAGGGACAAAATATATGGAGACAGGCATCAAATATGTGAAAGAGTAGAAGTATCTACCATCAAATATCAACTTTTTACACAACCAAAAATGAATTATCTCCTTTTTACATTAAACTTTTAATTTAAATGTGTGCTGCCATATCTCTTGCCCCTCCAACAAGGGATTCGCGCGACTAGACCCAGGACTTTGGAAAATGGCTAATAGCTGCCTGCTGGTCGAGTTAACAAGTTGGCCAGGCAGGAGAAACAAGTTAATATCTGTCTTAGGTCAGGGTGCCCTGAGTTACATCTAACAAAAATTCAACCTCTTTCCCAGCAAGCCTTGATAAAATATTTTTCTTCCTGGCAGCAGGCTTCCCAGACCAAAAATTTCCTGTCAATTTTTTTTATAAATTTGAATTTTGGTTGTAATTCAATAACAGCGTCGTGTATTTAACAATTATTCGCCTTGTTTTTCACATGTATCATAATCATGAAAACAGACAGTCATAGCACTGCCACATGATACAATTTTTTACGTTATGATTGTTGTATTTATGCTCTAATTGTGATGTTTGTTACTTTAATGCTGATTTTTAAAATTTCTCGAGCTTCATTCTTGATATCTTGCTTTTCCTTAAAAATTTCCTGTGAGATTAAAAAAATTTCCTGGCAGCATGCTGCCATGCTGGCGGACTTTCTCATGCCTTGTTTCCCAGGCTCTTTCCTCTTGGGAAGGAAAGACCCTGGTAAGAGTGGTCACATGGCCCACAAAAAGTTGAGGAGGTGAGGGAAAAGTCTCGTATTACATGCTTCCGCACTTTACACTTCGATTGCAAGCAGTGAGTGTTGATACAATCCAACTTTGAGAATCATATATGTCAAAATTCTTGCTAAATTTGATTTGTTTGCTTTTAAATTATAAAAATATGCTACACAGATTTTTATAGCAAGAAGTCAGGAAATCAAGCAGTAAAAACATACGATCATATGCTTTGAAAATTGTTCTTATGTTCTCTATGCCTTGGGCGCACTAAGGAATTTACACACAGTTGGCCTTGGCGAGATCACAGGATATCTCATTTTATGACAATTCTACATAAAGTAAATCCTTTGGGTTTACGTATCAGACAGGATACACATCAACACTGACAACAGTCACAACCATATCGTTTGCTCGATTGGTCTAGCAGGGATTTACGGCGAAGCATGCTTTCCTTGCTAAGCCTGATATCTACTGAAAGCTGATCCAACTTCTCCACGACTAGTGTATAACACACAACTTGTAATTTTCCAAGCGCAACAAGTGCACTCCTCTACCACCCCTCTCTAAGTACAATCTTGATTTCCCCCAGAAACTTCCCCTCCCCCATCACTTTTCTAATGGTCTGCCTCTTAGTATGCTTAAGGAAGAACAGAATATTGTAACTGCCTGACCTGATTGCATGTCAAAATCACTGGTATTGTTTTCAAAAACATGTTGCCTCAAGTGTTTTAATCTCTTCTCCAGAGCAAAGGCGGTGTCCTTGGCAAGGCCGTTGACTATATTCATGATTTGAGAGCAGCGAGTGCAAGAATGGCAGATGTAATGAAAGAAAATGAACGATTATCGATTGATGTTGAATTATTAAGACAACAATATGAAGAAGCAACAAAGGAGAACGCCATGTTACGAACTCAGTTACAACAACATGGTCTTGAACCTGTGTCCACATCAACAACAGCGCAACCACACTGACTTTCTTGTAACATATTGCGTACTAACACAATCACCATATTCTTCGTATGGAGTGATCCCATTGCTCTGAAATGATTGCCACTGTAGCAGTAATGCATTGCATGTGTTGATATCAGCACAGACTGCAGTAAGCCCGATTGGCTAAGGGGTATATTAATCTGATCAGCGTGTAAATGATTTGTAAACATCCTGTACAGTACATAATTATCACATACAAGATTACAATTCATTACAATAATTTGGCTAATTATTAACTAGTTTGATTTACAAGGTTTATTATTAGCATGACAAAATTACTGGATGCTGATTGGTTGAGAGGAGTACAATTATTTCATTAATTGTACTGCAGTACAATTAATGATTTTCCCAAAACAAACAAAATGGCGGAAAGGTATTTTAAACACAAATGTGAAATGAAATTGCCGTGGAGGAACTAGATGAAAATACGAACAAAAGCACCAAATTTTGCTTGAACAAAAGAACTAAATGAAAATACAAACAAAAGCACCAAATTTTAGTTGAAAGTCTGGCAGGACTGGGCTTTGGCGAGAGAATATGATGTTGACATTGAGAAGTACGTATCCAATTTTGTCATGCTAATAATAAACAAGTAATCATGCGATGTTGCTCGTACAATTAGAGATTAATAGTACTCGTGATGTTTGGAAATTTGCCAAATTGGACTCGCCCCCGGCGGTTCGTCCAATTTTGGCAAAATTTCCAAACCTCACTCGTACTATTAATTCCTAATTGTACTCGCCATCGCATGATTACCTATAATAGTTATTTTCTTCCAAACATGCCACAAACTGGTTTGAAATTTTTGTCAATTTGAACTCTCTTCATGGTGTAACCAGGGCGGAAACTGAGTTTCACAACAGAATAGTGAGCTTAAACAAGCAACGTCGACACGGATTCACCCAAAAAATTGGTATAACTGATTTTGACGGCATTTTGCATCATAGAAGCAATTTTGTTTTGTCAGATGTGCTGAAGATATATTACCACAAACTAACACAAACACAGTTTTTAGTCCAGATCCCTCTCGGCAATCTTACGTCACCAATCAGTGGCATACCTAGGGTCTTCAAGAGCGGGGGGGGGGGACTATCCTTATTGGTTTGAAACCTATCTCGATGGAAAAATTTAGATTTCCATTCCTGCATTCTTCGGCAATTTTCACCCAACTGAAGCCATATTTGCATATCGTTGGAAAAGGCATTTTCCATGTCGAAAAAGTGGGAGAGGACCTGCCCCCAGTTCCGCGGCCCCTCCTGGGAATCAATTTGTGACACTACGTGATCTCCGTTCATCTTCTGTCATAGCGCGAGCATCCTGCAATCTCGTTCCCCGAGCCTGCGATCCTCGGAAAGGAACGCGAGGCTCTGGGATAATCCGTTGCCGGAAGCCATGAATCCTGGCTAAGATTGAACTACGCATTCCATTTCAACGGCCAATCAGATTCCTCCCTGAAACGGATTATCCCAGAGCTTCGCGTTCCTTCCCGAGGATCGCAGGCTCGGGGAACGAGATTGGAGCATCCTGGTACCACTGATCTACTATTAGATCAGTGCCTGGTACTGCCAATTATAGTGACCGTGCAAGGCCTGTTGAATAACTTGCAAGTACGCCTTGAACCAATCTCGTTCCCCGAGCCTGCGATCCTCGGGAAGGAACGCGAGGCTCTGGGATAATCCGTTTCAGGGAGGAATCTGATTGGCCATTGAAATGGAATGCGTAGTTCAATCTTAGCCAGGATTCTTGGCTTCCGGTAACGGATTATCCCAGAGCCTTCGATTCCTTCCCGAGGATCGCAGGCTCGGGGAACGAGATTGGCCTTGAACGTGTATATATTTCATCAGAATGTACTTCTAAGCATTTTGGCTACCAACCTCGCAAGCCAGGCTCTCTACTTCCACTCCTCCAACGCGTATTCTTCTTGCGGATAGTGGAGCCTGGAGAGGAGTTCAAAAGATGGAGTTGACTGTACGTCGTCAAAATAAATGTTGTGGAACTATTGATACAATCCCACACACCCAACATTTCCCAATGTTGGTTCAGATATGACATGAAGAAAACCCAATATTGAAAGAGGCCTGGAGTGTTGAAATTTGCTTTTTTACTCACATCTTAAACGCTGGGTTGGGACTTCTATCTTGGGTAGCAAAATACGCGTTCCTGTAGTCAACCTCGTCCCCAGGCTCTTCCCTCTTGTAGAGGTAGTCGGTCCAGTGTGGATTATAACAATTTCGCTTGGGTCTGACAAATGTCCGATCAACTGTGTAGTTGCTCGGACATTGGCTAATAATGATCGGCCAGCCTTTCAAAATTTACATTCAATTGACGAGGTATCAATTTGATAGCTCGTGCTGATCACTTCTCGTTTGATGAATCACATTTCTTAATTTTTGGCAAGCAGCCCAACGATCCATTGTATATTGTGTTTTCGGGAATTTTCTGCATGTCTAGTAGCCCGCGTGCAGGCCCAAGGGAAGCTCCCTTGGGCCTGCACGCGGGCTACATGTCTAGTACCATAAACTTGTGACGTGATTTTGTTGCTTGTCACAGCAAAGCCAAGATAATATTTTGTGTTCCTTCTCTCGCTTTTATCTTTATGAACAGTACCGTACTAGTCTAATAGTATACTGTACCTTTCATTTAAATGAAAACTGCCTATTTTATTTGCCCGGTCAAAATGTCCGTGCAGAATAAGATTAATCGGCCATTTAGTGTTTTTGTTCGGCAAATAGCCGATTGCCGACCGCGTTATAATACACACTGCCGACAGTCGGTCTAATGGAGAAGATGCAGGACTGACAAAATTTACGCGGTCCTTGCATAAAATAAAATAAACCTTAGTAAATGGTTAAATACTACGTACATTAGCTGATTTCGCATTCAACTGGCTTGAGCTAAATTAGCTAGAAACTTTAGGCTATCTTGGCGTACGTTTATACGCATATTGCAGTTGTTATAGCTTGAGCTTCGCTACTGCAGCAAAGCTACAGTACATCCTTTACCTTGTAGAGGATAGATAGCCTGATGCGGTGAAGCGGCATAACATTACATATTATATATAATTACACATCTCTGACAATATTACATTCATAGTTAATGCTGTAACACTATATATAAATACTATTTGTCTGTTTGTGGGACAAGCACCCCACTTGTTTTCTCTTCTTTTTGCTTATCAGTGTGTTGTTTTTCTCCCTGAGATCTGATATTGTGTTGTTCTTTAAAGGAATTTAGCTCTTCGGATTTAGCTTGTAACTGACTCTTTAAGTTTCCTATGAGAATTTTGATCTGTAAAATAATGAACAACTTTTTAAAGGAAAAAACTAACACTTGCATTTCATCTGGTGAACATTAGCTAAAATGACAATTTCATGTGTTAATTTTTTATGACACAAATTGCATGGGAAACCTATTTATTGCCTTTGTTTTAAGAAAATACCCCGATGACGGGAGCGACCTTTAATTTCTACCTATGTTAAATTTATTTAGTCACAACTCAAGTGCAAACATTCACTATACTACTATCCAGATTGAAAACTATGGACTTAATTGGACACAATACACACATATACAATACATATACAATACATATAATTTTCTTTTCCTCGGGGAAATGTAGAACGTGTGGATATACGTGATTTTATTACCATTGGTGTAGTGCACACAATATTGTAATAATACACTGGGTCTCTAGCTCACATACAATCTTTCTAGTAAAATGGTTTATGCCAGCAATGGAAGAACCTTTGTTGCCGGTTTTTGAGCACACGGTATATATACATACAGTGTACATGCAGCTGCAGTGTCAACTACTCTGAGTAGTCAACTACAGTGCAGTACAGGGTGTATAAAAAAAAAACTGAACAGATTTGAACATATTTGTATCCGGTTTTTTATATATATAGCTTCTTTGGGTACTTATAAAGTAAAATAATGAAAAAAATTTCTTGAACTCAAATTTTGTGAACCAGGGGGGTGTGTCTTTTCCAACAAACTAAAAATGGCTCGCGCACAAAATTTAAA